GAAACACAAAGGGGTTTGTTATAAATTATCTGGTTCTTGTTACAGGTGTGGCAAGGTGGGCCACATGGTTAAAGACTTCGCCTAATCATCATGCATTGTCTACAACAATCAAGACTATCATCCACCGATAGCCCAAAGCAATTATTTCTAAACAGATAATAAATGCATCAATAGATAATTTATCAATATTTTCAAAAGTGAGCGATTAATAAATCCAACTCCACTATTCCATCTCATAATGAGCCAATTTCATTATTCACATGTCCATAATAAATGTCATTAATTACACTAATGACCCAAATATACCCAAACATGACATTTTCTCCCTCTTTCTCAATATTGACCCCAAAAGGTCCAAATATTACCAACAACATCAATAACCTCCATTTTAGACTCAAAACACATACGTATGAGGGTACATCCGGTAGCAAAACAGTACAGTAGGTCTTATCAGACCGAACAGTCAGTTGATGGCCATCATATCAGTAAACAGTAGTGGTTCCAACATGGGAACCGACAGAGATCTCTGTGACAGTAGCAGTACAGTACAGTACAGTAATAGTAGGTTGCTATGGATGACACGAATACAGTTCACAAATAGGACATCATTCATTCAGTAACAGTATCATTTTAGAAAACAGTACAGTTCAATTGTTCAGAAGATAATCATTATTGAACATATCTTTACAACATTGTTACTTACAGAGTTCTGGGCTACAGATAAGCTAGTACGCGTCCTTGGATGCCAACCCTACACAGTTACAGAGTGAACACACATTAAGCTACATAGTTGGGAAAATAATAACTTAATCCCTAATTTGCCTCGGTGTGGTTCTACATCAATATCCTTATTAAGATGCCTTAAACTAGGCCTAGGAATGCCTAGGATGAAATGAGGATGCAAAGATGCACTTAAAAAACATTTTCAGAATTTTCAGAAAACAGAGGTCCCGCTCGAGCGTGGATTTCCTCGCTCGAGCGTTCATGCAAACAAAAGTCTCCGCTCGAGCAATAACTTTCCTGCTCGAGCGGATTGCAAAAGTACTGGATGTGTGAAAATCACACTCGATGGGCGCTCGACACCCGCTCGAGCATGTGACACAAGTTCTCGCTCGAGCGTGCAAAACCTCACTTGAGCGGACTGTAAACACAACAAAAGTGCTGGATGCGCGAATTTCCCGCTCGAGCGCCACTTACCCCGCTCGAGCGGGAGTCCAAAATCTGGAATTTCCAGATTTGAACCTCAAGCTCAAAATCAAGTTTCAATATGCCAAATTCGATCTTTTTGGGCTAATTTTCTGGAAAACACTTTAAAACTCATAATATAACATGATTCAAAGCTCAATTTGGAAAATCAAGGCCCAAAGGTGAGTCAATTAAACCCACTTTCAAACAAAACTTTATGAACGAAACAAGAACTTTACATGCATGTGTTCAATAAATTCAAGGCTTCAAATACATGCTCAAATGAGCTCATTACCTCAAAAATAAGATGAATTCATGAACTATACTTAAGATATGGACATGCATGTGAGGAATTTATGAACTACAACCTCAAAACCTCACAATATGTACATGCATGCATGAATTAAGCCTCTAGTCAACAATCTACAACCAATTTATGATCTTAAGCTCCTATTTACCATGAACCATGCAACAATTAACTTGAATTCACAAACAAGAAAGTAAATGTCCTACCTTAGGTCTTGAATGTAAGATATGGGAGCTCAATTATGCAAATTCTCTACAATTTCTTCAAGTCTCCAAGCAAATCTTTGTTGAAACCAGGCTCTCCTAACTCTCTCTCTCTCTCTAGTCGGTTTTGGTCTCATGGAATGGCTGAGGAAATGTTGATTCTAAGTCTCAAAATATGATATGGAGTGGGCCACTAAGTGGCAAAGTTATAAATAAGGCTAACTCTTGTGATTTATCAACATTTAATCTAATTTAATCATACCAAATCACATTTCAATTAAATATACCATAAAATCATATAAATCTTAATTAGCACAAAACATCAATCCATTTCAGATTCGGCCGCCGATAAGGCCTTCAATTTGCAGTTTAAAACATAAAACATGAACAGATAATTTAACAATCAACAGATAGAATTGCATTCAAACTAGCACAATCAATTAATCAGTTTAGTAATTCAGTCAGTCAGTCAATTAACATGCTTAATCATAGATTAGCACTAACCAGTAGTGTTATTAGTAAACAGTGCTGAGGGTTGTTACAGATGATGAGCTAGAATCTGATTCCATAGAGTCTGTGGGGTTGGGATTAGATTCAAGTCAGTCTGAAGGGTCTGAGTTTGGCATTCTCGGGGGTGGTAACCCGGATGCCAAGGTCCTATCTAGGTCTTCATTTTCTTTTACTTTTGAGTGTGTTGTAATCAAAGAGCTGGACCTTGTGAATGAGAACTTTGCAGATTCTGAGTATTTCTCTGTGTCACTTATTTATTGCATTGACCAAGACTTTCAAACTTTTAATGAAATCGAAGAAAAAGAAATTCCTCTGGTTTTGAAAAACTTGATTAATTGAGGGGAGGAAAGGTATATTAAACCTTGTATTGATGAAATCATTGCCATTAATGTAGATATTGAGAATGATCCACGCATGATCCAGATCGGGTCGACGTTGTCTTCGAAAGAACTCGAGCGCTTAGTCACTTTATTAAAAGATTTCAAAGATGTTTTTGAGTGGTCCTATGAAAACATGCTTGGAATCGACCCTGAAATTGTACAACATCGGATCCCTCTTGACCCTGAGGCCTAACCAGTTAAGCGAAAATTGCGCAGAATTTGCCCGAATTGGGCACTGAAGATCAAGGAAGAGGTCACTAAACAGATCAATGCAGGTTTCTTGTTGGTATCTGAGTATCTAACTTGGTTGGCCAATATAGTTCCAGTTCCAAAGAAGGATGGTAGAATTAGGGTCTACGTCGACTTTCGGGATCTGAATAAAGCTAGTCCGAAAGACGACTTTCCATTGCCACACATTGACGAATTGGTAAACTTCACAACTAGCCATGCATTGCTTTCCTTCATGGATAGGTATTCCGAGTATAACCAGATTCTGATAGCACTGGAGGACAAAGAGAAAACCGCATTCACAAAGAGGGGAATCAAAGTTGATCCATCCAAGATCAAGGCCATCCTCGAAATACCACCACCAAGGACGGAAAAGGAGGTGCGTGGCATTCTGGGTAAAGTGCAATTCATAAGATAGTTTATCTCCAAATTAACCTTGACTCGTGAACCACTATTTGGTCTCCTTAAGAAAGGAAAGAAATTCCAATGGGACAATAGATATCAATTTGCCTTTGAGCAGGTCAAGCAGTACCCCTAAAATCCACTTGTGTTATCGCCACTAGAGTCGTGCAAGCCTTTGATTCTGTACTTATCAATAACGGACACGGCCATGGGTTGTATGCTAGAATAAGAATCTGAAGATAGGGTGGAGAAGGCCACCTACTATTTGAGTAAGAAAATGCAGGACTATGAGACCTGTTACACTTCCCTCGAGAAGGCTTGCCTAGCCTTGGTATGGCTACCCGAAAGCTGAGGCACTACTTGTTAGCTCACTCTGTAATCCTGGTTTTGAGATTAGATCCCATAAAATATCTCTTTGAGAAACTGGCGCTTACGGGTAAGCTAGCCCGTTGGTTACTTCTCCTCTTCGAATTCAATCTCAAATTTATCACTCGCAAGGCGGTCAAGGAAAGAGTTGTAGCGGAATTCTTGGCGAACCACCCGGTAGAGGAAGATAAGGCAGTGAAATATCTATTTCCAGACGAAGATACTTTGCATGTTAAGAAGGAAACCTGGACGATGTATTTTGACGGAGCGTCTAATCAGTATGGTTATGGGATTGGTGTGTTACTGATAGCGCCTGATGATTCCTATATACCTTTAGCTTTCAAACTCTGGTTCAAGGTGTCCAACAATGAAGTAGAATATGAAGTGTGTATTGCTGGTTTGGAAGCTGCCCTAGAACTAGGGGCAATACAGTTGGATGTTATCGGAGATTCGAACTTGGTTGTCTCTCAAGCAAACGGAGACTGAAAAGTCAAAGAAGAGAAGATGGAGGTTTACTACCAGACTTTGGATATGCTGATCCCGAGGTTCAAAAAGTTGACGTTCACGCATCTACTACGAGAAAACAACAGGTTTGTTGATGCTTTGGCAACTCTCTCTTCTATGGTAGACATCCCGTTCGGAGTTAAGATGCGTCCAATCATTATCGAGCAGAAATACACGCCAGCCTACGAGATTGTTGCTGCAATAGATGAGGCTTCAGATAAAAACCCATGGTATTATGATATTTGGAACTTTCTAGAAAAGGAGATATATTCACTAGGGGAAAATGCCAAGGATAAACGAGGAATATGGCGTCTGGCCGTCCAGTATATTATCTGTGGGGGTAAACTCTACAAAAGAGGCCATTTGGGAATGCACAAGCTGTGTGTCGAAGAAGAGGAATCAAAGCACCTTATGGAGGTCATTCACGGAGGAGAATGTGGAGCCCATATGAATGGTGTGATGCTAGCTCGGAAAATCCTCAAACACAGGTATTGCTAGTCTACGATAGAGAAAGACTATATTGGTTTTGTACGGCGATGCCATAAATGCCAAATTCATGCCAACCGTATGAACATTCCACTGTCTAAGCTTTAAAACATGACCTCACCCTGGCTATTCTCCGTATGGGGGATAGACGCTATCGGCGCAGTTACACCAAAGGGGTCAAACGGGCACGAGTTCATTCTGGTAGCAATCTACTACTTCACAAGATGGGTGGAGGCCCAAACCTATGTCGTGCTAAAGGCGTCGCATTTGGCCAAGTTCATCAAGAACAACATCATCTGTTGATATGGGGTTCCAAATGAGATCATATCGGATAACGGCTCACACTTCAAGAAAGAGGTGATAGATTTGCTCAAAAAGTATAACGTGGCTTTTCATAAGTCATTAACTTACAGGTCACAGACTAATAAAGGTGTTGAGGCCGCGAACAAGAACATCAAGACAATTTTGCAGAAGATGGTGGAGACTTACAAGGACTGGTCAGAGAAACTACTGTTTGCATTTTGGGGCTATAGAATGTCGATTCGGACATCTATAGGGGTGACCCCCTATTCTCTTATTTATGGCATGGAAACTGTTCTGCCAATTGAAGTTGAAATACCATCACTGCGAGTTATGGCTGAGTGCCAAATAGCAGAAGCCGACTGGCAACAGAGTAGATTTTAGGAGTTAATGTTGTTTGATGAGAGAAGGCTGAAGGCATTGTATCTTGTCCAAGGCTACCAACTCAGAATTGCTAAGGCTTTTAACAAGAATGTTAAGTCTGGGAATCTCAAGGAAGGAGATCTGGTGCTCAAAGACAACCGAGCTCCCATCCATAACCCTAGGGGCAAATTCAGACTTGATTAGACTGGTCCTTACATGATTAAGTCTATCTCGTCAGGAGGAGCAGACATTCTCATAGACCTAGATGGCTTGAAATTTTCACAACCGATCAACATGGACAAGTTGAAGAAATATTATCCCTGAGAGGCTCGCTAGGCCGAAAACCTGAAAGGGCGACTTAGGCAAAAGTTAGAGCATGAAAAATTAGAAATAAAGAAAAATTAAGTTCGTAAGGTTGAAAACCCTAAAGGGCGACTTTGGAAAAAGTTAGAGCATAAAAGAAGAGAGTCAATACTCGAGTGAACCCGAACCGAACTATGTAAGGCCTAATTTCCATCTTCGGGATACGTAGGCAACTTCATCCTGAAGTTCGACCGTAATTATCTCTAGCTCAACTGTGCTGTCTGATCAGGTCATCTTTGTTCATTTTCTATTAGTTCGGTTGTGATCTTCGTTTTGGAAAGAAGAGTTGGTTACAATGCAGAGTAGTAGTGATATGATTTGCCGATTTGGAGTTGTGCATCTTTAGGTTTGATTCTATGCGTGTCAGGCAATGATCATTTTCGAAAGCGATTTTGAAAATTTTTAAATTTTTCTCAAAAATTTACCTTTTACAACATAGACCATTTTGGGACCAAAATGAAAAATTTTTATGCTCACAACTTCAGTTTCATTGATTTCAACATCAAGCACATTCTCTAACTCTCTAATACAAATCAAAGTTGCTTTTACATAAAACTCGAAAAGAAAGGTCAAAGCAATAAAACTAGGGACATAGATGAGTCAGGTGTCAATTCTTTTCCTTTTGTTCGCACCCGTGGAAGTCTTTGTAGTCAAAGTTGGGCCAATCTGTTCCTCATCTCCAAGCCAAGCCAAGCACTCACTACGAAGGATGTAACTGAAATTACGGGCAGAGGCCAGAAGCTCTCTTGTTCTCCAGTAGTGAGGTATCGAGTCAGGTTTGAAGCACGAACGGGGAATGGAGCCGGGTATTCTACTCCCTCACCCGGACGAATCTGATTATGTCCAAACTGACGTCTGAGCCGAAAGGGGAAGTAGAACATGCAGTGCATCAGACCAATCAACTGTATGTCGGGTTGACGTGTCATGCTGTAACCCATTTCGACCAAATCAAGCCAGAGGCAACACCAAGCTAGGTCAGCTGCAAATCAGCTATACATCTAGTCATACCACAACCCTTCTGAAGGGAAATCGACTAACCGTTGGCGAAAGGAGTAAGCTCGAGCTGAGTACTCAAGGCAAGGGTCCACTACTTTTCAGTTTCTCCATTAACCATACATGGGGAGGGATGTAAAATCAGAGAGATTAAAGAATAAGGAGGTGTACGTTGAGAGAAAAGTAAAGAAGAGGAGGTCAGCTGCAAATCAGCTATACATCTAGTCATACCACAACCCTTCTGAAGGGAAATCGACTAACTGTTGGCGAAAGGAGTAAGCTCGAGCTGAGTACTCAAGGCAAGGGTCCACTACTTTTCAGTTTCTCCATTAACCATACATGGGGAGGGATGCAAAATCAGAGAGATTCAAGAATAAGGAGGTGTACATTGAGAGAAAAGTAAAGAAGAGGTTTTGAGAGAAAAACAGAGTTTGAGTGTTGAGTGACATTAGAATCATAAATCAAAAAGGTGTGAAATTAGACCTGAAGAAGTAGCAAACTTCCTACAAACATGGTGGTCTCCCGCCAATGAGCAGTGTCCAGGCCCATCAAGGTTTTGACCAGTGCCAAACCAATATAACTCTTACCCTTTTTCAGGCATTGGGCGATTTTGATCAATCGGATACTGGCTCTGCCATAACTAGGGGCAATTAGGAATTGCGCAAGTAGGCATAAACACAGAGCATGTTATTATTGGCTGCGCCAAAGAAGGTCACTTCTATCTCCAATAGTGGAAAACCGATGAACTAAACCAGGGATGTCCAGCTCCCCATCATATGCTAAAGACCGAGCCTTATGCAGTGATAATTTGCACATCCTCCCCCAAAGCTTGGGCATGGCCAAAACGGGGTTGAGGCATGATTTCTTTGCCGTGTCAGGATTTAATCAGTGCTTGAAATTCTTCGAAGGTTGGACATATCTCTTGTGATCCAAAGTGAAATACATGTGTGACTGGGTTCCAACATTGAACTGCGGCGTGGAGGAATAGAAAGCAAAGCGAGATACGACTCAAAGGAAAAAAGGCGTTAAGGCCGAAACTACGAAAGTTCACATTTTCCGAGTGATCCAAAGTGGCTATCCAATCTTGGAGTTTATTGATGAGTGATATCTCCAACTTGAGAGCAAAATATCAAAGACTTGCTATTCTGTCAGAAAAATAGCATGGGAGCACCATTTATAGAGTTTTAGAAGGAGTAGTGTATGACAGCTGGACAGCACTGACCGATCTCTTTTTGAAGCTCGGCCGTGCCTCAGTGAAGCCAGGTTGTGCCTATGGAGGCCCGGTCGGGTCTCAGTGTTAGCCTAGACTAGTGCAATTGTAAAAAAGGCTAGCCTTTGTCCTGACGTGTTGTGGCTATGTGTTGAGTACTGTTTTGTTTGTACCAAGTTTCTTTTACTATTTTCGAGTTGTTTTCATTTCATTTTTCTGTTATCGAGTTGTATTTTACATTTTTGTCCAGTTATGGCTTGTTATCCGATTCAAGAATGAATGCAAGAGTACGTATTCGCAGTTTTAAGTCCTGTACAATGCTACCATTCATCACATTATGTAAGAAGATCATCCAAAAAAAAAAAAACAACTATTCTTTTATAAACTAGCGGGCCCAACCCCGATCATCATTTTCCAAAGCAATAAAACAAAAGAAAAGTCTTCAAAAACAAAAGAGATTATCTGAAGTTACGTCTTTAACCAGTCCATCCCCAATATAACATCAAAATGATCTATGTTCAGAGGCAGTAAGTCAATATACAGATGCATATCCCCAACAATAATTTCACATGCAGGGTACATATAAGCACAAGTTACAGATCTCCCAACAGGTGAAGATACAGCTAACAGATAATTCATGGGTTCTAATGGTCTACTCAATTTTCACGAAAAAGCATGCGATACATATGAGTGTGTAGACCCCGAATCAATCAGAACATATGCATTTTGAGTACAAATAGAGAGAATACCTGACACAACGGTCTCGGTATTCTACACGTCTCCCGATACTAGTGCGAACACTCGGCCTTGCCTCATGGGCTCTTTCCCGGTACCTTTGGGGTTAGGCTTTGATGTAGCAGTCGATGCTGCTGCGCTAGGTGCAGCTTTACTATTGGCCTGCGGAGCAGAGGGACAGTCTTTAACCATGTGGCCCACCTTGCCACACCTGTAACAAGCTCCAGATATTTTATAACAAACTCCCTTATGGTTCTTACCACATTCAGAACAGGGTGGTATAGACCGGTTCCCTTGACTAGAAGTAGTCGTTGACCCTGTATTCTATTTCTTGTTCAATGGGTTATTTTTGCCTTTCTTGAACTTAAAACCCTGCCTTTTACCATGCCATTCAGACGCTGGTGCTTCAGTTTGTTTCAGTGCCTCGATGTTCGACTCAGCCATTAACGCTCGGTCAAGAACATTTACATAGTTTGGTAGCTTTAAAACATTTATTCTGTCCAGTATCGCAACATTAAGGCCACCCTCAAACTTTCTGGCCTTCTTGTAGTTGGTGTCTACCATGTGTGGTGCATATGTCCAGTATTGCAACATTAAGGCCGCCTTCAAACTTCCTGGCCTTCTTGTAATCAGTATCAACCATGTGCGGTGCATAACGGGCAAGTTCAGTAAATTTTGTCTCATATTCTGCCACTGACATAGTGCCTTGTCTTAGCTGTTCAAATTCAGTCACTTTTTTGTCCTTGACACACTGAGGGAAATACTTTTCGAAGAAGGACTCCTTGAATTGAGCCCAAATCATAACAGTGTTGGTGTCGTGGACTAACATCCACCACCTTCTGGCCTCTTCTTGTATTGTAAAGGTGGCCAATAGCACTTTGTGTGCTTCAGAACATGGAAAAACTTCGAACAATTTTTCTGTCTCAAGGACCCAAGCTTCAGCCTTTAAGGGTTCAAGGCCTCTCTAAAAGGATGGCGGTTTCATTTTGCTGAACTTCTGGGTGAGAGTAATTATATCCCCATCATTAACATTCGACTCCGGCTGTACCGGAGGAGGAGGTGGGGCCTGTTGGTTCTGCTGTTGTTCTAGTCTTGCAGTTAATAGTTCCACCATTCTCTCCAACCTCACCATTCTTGCCTCAGGGGATTCAGTTTCATTAGCAGTGCTTGCATTATCCATTTCAATATATACAACATTATAATAATAAACATAGGAAGTTGCATACTTTAAACATTTAAACATAAGCAGTTATATGCTTCAACACATTAACACATATACATGGCATGTCCACACACACTTTTCATGCTCATGTGATGCCCTAATTACTTTTTTAGGACACCCTATAGCTCATTTGGACACGTGTGTGCGGTATAACTCGTGGTTAAGTATTGTTCTGATACCACTCTGTCACGACCCAAACCCGCCCCTATGGGTTTAGCACCATAACCGACCAGTAATCCAAGATTATCGAAGGTCTACTTAACAGTAAGACAGTAATATAGAGTACAGGGGCATGGCGAAAGCCAAAACAGTAAATAAACAGTGTCCAATGAGCTGTGAGTCTGTATGCAAAAAGATTTTTCATACGTATATACATGAACTATACAGAACAATATATACAACATTTACAGTCGATCAGAACAGGGACCTAATCCCTGTTAGACAGTACAGTACAGTGCTATCAGTCTATACAGTTATTACAAAACAGATACAGAGACA